TCTCGAAGGCCTGTTGAGGCCAACAGGGAGCCACTGGGGGAGGCTTTTCGGCGTCGTGTTGCTGTTAACGACAGTCGCCTCCAACGGCCTGTTCACGGTTGGATGGAGTTGAGGCGCCTCTGGACGCCATCTTGGGGTGTCTCTGGGCCAACTGGGGGCCGTCTGGGGGCCCTTGGAGGGCGCTCCGCGGCTCTTTCGGACAGTCCTGGGGCGACATCGGAAGTCGAGTGGGCCGATTTAAACGTTCTTGCGTCACAAAATACGAGGTTGTTCTTTCATCCCCCCCCCGTCACGTCCATTACGGGGGGGAGGTAGGGAGCCCGTGTATTTTTTCATCCACGATGCCGCAACCAAACTTACTCCAACGCAACCCAGGCTAGTGGGCCGTCCTCAATGTTCTTGTGTCACAAACAACAAAGTTGTTCTTTCATCCCCCCCCCGTCACGTCCATTTCGGGGGGATGGTAGGGACCCCGTGGGGAAGGTAACGAAGACATGATCGGGCCCCGCGGCGGGGAGGGGACCCCTGGGCGACGGACGACGAAGACGACGACGAAGACGACGACGAAGACGACGACGAAGACGACGACGACCACGACGAGGACGACGACCACGACGACGACGAAGACGACGACGACGACGACGACGGAGCCGAGGACAAGGGCGAGGAGAAGGCCAACGACGAGGACGGAGATAATGACGACAACGACGACGATGACGAGGACGAGGGAGAGGATGAGGACAAGGGCGAGGAGAAGGCCAACGACGAGGACGGAAATAACGACGACAACGACGACGACGAAGACGAGGGAGAGGACGACGAGGACAAGGACAAGGACGAGCACAAAGAAAACGACGAGGACGACGACGAGGACAAGACGACGACGACGACCAGGACGACGACGATCACGACGACAACGACGACGACGACGACGACGAGGACGACGACGACGACGAGGACAAGGACAAGGACAACGACAAGAACGACGACCACGACGACGACGACGACGACGGAGCCGAGGACAAGGGCGAGGAGAAGGCCAACGACGAGGACGGAGATAATGACGACAACGACGACGATGACGAGGACGAGGGAGAGGATGAGGACAAGGGCGAGGAGAAGGCCAACGACGAGGACGGAAATAACGACGACAACGACGACGACGAAGACGAGGGAGAGGACGACGAGGACAAGGACAAGGACGAGCACAAAGAAAACGACGAGGACGACGACGAGGACAAGACGACGACGACGACCAGGACGACGACGATCACGACGACAACGACGACGACGACGAGGACGACGACGACGACGAGGACGAGGACAAGGACAAGGACAACGACAAGAACGACGACCACGACGACGAAGAGGAGGACAAGGGCGATGACAAGGACGAGGACAACGACAACGACGAGGACGACGACGAGGACGAAGGACGACGACGCTGACGAGGACAACGACAACGACGAGGACGACGACGGCGACCACCATTACGAGCACGACGACGACGACATCGACGAGGTCGACGAGGACGACGAAGACGACGAGGACGTGGACAAGGACGACGACAAGGATAACGACGTGGGCGAGGACGTGGACGAGGACAAGTACGACGACGATCACGAGGACGAGGACGAGGACGAGGACGACGGCTGCCGCCTCTGAAGGTCTCCAGAGACCTGGAGGCCCGAGGGGGATCTTAAGGCCTCTGGAGTCGTCTGGAGAACATCCGAGGCCCACGGAGACGACGACGACGACGAGAACGAGCACAAGGACAACAACGAGTACGACGACGACGACGACGACGACGACAACGACCACCGTCACGACGACGACGACGACGAGAACGAGGACAACGACGAGGACGACGACGACGACCACCACCACGACGACGACGAGGACGAGGACAAGGACGAGGAGGAGGACGCAGACGACGAAAACGACGAAGACGACGGCCGCCTCTGAAGGTCTCTGGAGGTCCCGTAAGCCTCGGGAGGTCTCCAGAGGCCTCCGGGGGCGTCTGGAGGCCCTCCGAGGCCTGTGCTCACCACACCATGCTTGTGAGCACGGCACCACACCTGTCGGGGGCCGCCCTCTCAACGAGCCTCGTGGTGCGAAAGGGAGGAGTTATTCACGAGGGGAAGGAACGGAGGGGGAGGTGGAGGACGGGGAGGACGGGGAGGAGCGGGGGGAGGCCGTGCTCCAGCAACGGTAGGCCCATGCGTCTCGGGAGAGGTGGTCCCCCCCTGGGCTTCTGGGTGCGTCTGGGCACTTGTCGGGACCTCCAGAGTACGTTCGCTGCCGTTCGGGGGGGGGGGGAGGGGGGGCGACTCGCCCGAGCAATGCGCGCGGGTAGCGGATGGGTCTTCGGCGGGTCCGCAAGCGAATCGCGGGGCGGGTCGCGGGCAGGTCAGTGGTGGATCGCGGGCGGGTAGCGGGGCGGGTCGCGGGTGGGTCGCGGGGGCGGGCCGCGGGTGAGTCGCGGGTGGGTGGCACATTGGATTGTGGGTGGGTCGCGGGGCGGGTCGCGGGATTGGTCGCGGGCGTAGGTCGTGGAGCGGGGGCGGCAACGAGAGCAAGACCCCGCACAGCTGAGCCGCACTTCAACCACGCACCCAAGGACAGTGTAAGACCGCTCGCACATCTGGCTCTGACATGGTTGGCCTCGTCGGGCCGGCTGGCTCTTGGGGCCCTCATGGGCCGGCTTGGGGCCAACTCGGAGGGTATCGTTGTCGGCGTTGGTGATGCTCGCCGCGTCTTGCCTCGCCGTGCCTTGTCCTGTCTTGGCTCGTCCGGCCCTGCGGGCCCGCGAGACCACGGGAGGCGGGCGCGTGCAACAAGCGACCGCGCCGAAGTTCCACGCCTCCTCGCTAACGTGCCGCTGCGCGGCCGAGTGCGGAGGGGCCGTCTCGGGCCACCCTTCGGCGGCCAGGGATCGGTGACGTCATCTGCGAGCCCCACCTGGAGTCATGAGTGAGGAGCGTGCACGTTGGGCTCTATTCGGCGGTGGACAAACCTCCCTTTAGCAAACCACCCGTTAGTGAAAGCAGCCCAGAACCGAAACCGATGGACCTGGACCCGCAAAAGTGATGGCCGCGACGCCCTCTAGCGAATCGAGAACGGCCAATTCATTAATCGACGTGTCAGGGTAGGAGGTCTATCAACCTCCGATCTATACGAGCATCGACATGGGTCCTCACTCTTGTTTGCCTCCCTGGCGGTGGCCCCCGGTGGCTCGATACAGCATGGGCGGCGCCAGACGCAGACATGAAACATCCACGGGCACAACAAAAGCAGAACACGCGAAGGGCCGTCCTGGTGAAAACACGTGTCTGCTAATCACATACCAAAGCAACTTCCGAACGGCCCCTGGCCCGCCGAAGCCCATCATCTCTTCATCACCACTGTATCACAATGCTACCAGCGCACTTGAACGGTTCGACACCTTCATATCGCCACATCTTTGCGAACCAACATCTGAGCTGTTACGGGAAACCCCAATATCATTTGATAGTGTAACATATCCCCTCGCAACAATCGTGCCAATGCGGCCGCGGTATGTTGCACTAACCCACGCATTAGAATGCGGTGTGCATCCGCGCACAAACAAAAATGACCGACCTACACGCATGCAACGGTCAAGCTGGTATCAGTTTGCCGATGGGCCAACCCAAATGCCTTGTCTTAAAATAACAGCAAGCTGGACAAACCGGAAGGCAATCTTGAGCCGTATTGTGACCTTGGGACTCCAATATCGTGGCAAAGGGAGAAAGGCTGGAGGAGATGACCCGTTCAATTAAGGAAGATTTGTCACTGGGTATCTAGACTATGGATTCGCAAGAGGTCGCAGGGTCCAAGATGGCCTCCAACATGGCACAATATGGTCCAAGTGGGCCCAGGGTGTCGCAATATCGCCCAAGCTCCCTCAGGATGGCCCAGGATGGCCTCAACGATGGCGCAACATTTCCTAAGTTGCCCCAGGATGGCCTCTAGCATGTCCCCTAGGATGCCTCACGATGGCCCCGAGGTGGCTAGGAGCCTCCCGAGGGAGCCACCAAGAAGCAACCAACAAGAATAACACGTTGGTTGTTCAACGTGTGCTTGGCTCCTCGCCCTATCGCCGCTTGGTGGGTGTACATTGGCGGCCCTACTTACATATTTACCCTTCCAGAAAAATATACAGCATCCCTTTCCCTGTAGCAACCTACAAGTTGGCATCCGCCTCCTGCGGAGTGGGTTTCGGGACGCCTGCCCAATTCCGATGATCGGAAGTCTGGGGTGAGATCGAGGTGAAATGGACTCCCCCACTTTGAAATGGGTTTCGATTTCGTGTTCGTGCCGTTCGTGCGCGCGAGGCGAAGCCGCGTGTGCGGGCTAGAAGGGTGATCCCGCCGCTGGTAGGGCGAAGTCGAGGCAACAGGCTCTCCCTCCCCGCCAGGCTGGCGGATCTGGGCCTGGGGCTAACCCGCGGTTGTCCCGATGGTTGTCCCGTGGTTGTCCCGATGGTTGTCCCAACGACTGTCCCGATCCGTCACCGTGACCATGAGGCACGAGATGGAGTGTCCTCAGGTCCCTTGTCGGATCCCCTGGAGCTTCGGCCCTCAATCCTGAGGATTCTCTCGGCGGCGAGCGGGGGGGGGGAAGCAAGAAGGAGAAGGCCTTGCCAGAAGGCGACAGGACTTCTCAGAAACCCTCGCCGCGCCTTCTGAGAAGTCTTTGTTCCGTCTTCGGGGAAGCCTCAGAAAACTTCTCAGAAGGCCAGCGGACTTCCTAGAGACCTCCTAGATGGGGTCGGAGTAGGTGGGTTCGGAGAATCGCGCCACATCGCCGATACATCGGCGATGCATCGGCGATGTATCAGCACTGCATCGAAGATGCACGGGCGTGATGTATCGGCGACGTGAGCGATGAATCGGCGACGCGACGTGAAGCAAATCCGGCTCCGCATTCAGCCACATCGGCGATGCATCGGCGATGCGGTGCGATCCCCCGACCCCATCTGCTCCGACCCCATCTGGGAGGCTTAGACACTTCCGCACCCTCTGCGGAGGCCTTCTCCTTCTCGCTCCCCCCTCTCGCCCGCCGCCGACTGCAGGGGCCCTGGGCCCCACAGTTACACACATGGGCCGGGGCGCGCCGCGCAGCCCCCGGAGGAGGAGGGGGAGGAGGAGGAGGAGGAGGAGGAGGAGGAGGAGGAGGAGGAGGAGGAGGAGGAGGAGGAGGAGGAGGAGGAGGAGGAGGAGGTGGGAGGAGGAGGCAGGAGGAGGAGGAGGAGGAGGAGGAGGAGGGGGAGGAGGAGGAGGAGAGAGAGGAGGAGGAGGGGAGGAGGGAGGAGGAGGAGGAGGAGGAGGAGGAGGAGGAGGAGGAGGAGGAGGGGAGGAGGAGGGAGGAGGAGGAGGAGGAGGGGCTCCCGCGAGGCCCCCGGGGCCCGGGGGCAAAGCCCCAAGGCGGGCCCCGAGGGGCCGCCCAGACGGCCCACGGGAGCGCCGCATCGCCGCACGACCGGTCCAGGACGCCCAGGGTGGCCCCAAGGCGGCCCCAGAACCCATCGGGAGGCGCCCCAAGAGAGCGCCAGGAGTTCTTCCACGAGGGCCCCGAGAGGCCCAGATCCTTGGCTTGTTCGGCATATGGATTGGGGTCCTCGATGTGTCGATCTTCCATCGCTCTGAGGCGGCCCGAGAGGCTCCCGAGACCGCCCCAAGACGGCCCAAAAGAGCTCCCAAACGGCCCAAGAGGGCTCCGAGACGGCCCCGGAGGCGCCCAAGACGGCCCCCAAAGCAGCCACGAGAAGGGCTCACAAGCGGGGGAGCAGGAACCGAAGATCTGGGTCTTGCGCCCCCCCCCAAACCCCCAGGCCCCCAAGAGGCCCTTCAGAGACCCTCAGGCCTCAGGGGGGCCCCTGGAAACTGCAAAGAGGCCCTACAGGCGCCCCAGGAGGCGCGGAAAGGGCTCCCAAGAGGCCCCCAAACGCCCCCCCAAAGAGGCTCCCGAGAGGCCCCCCGCGACATCCCAGCGGACATCCTGGAGGCCTAGGACCCACAACTTAGGCCCGGTGGCAGGGCGAGCCGACGGCCATTGGATAAATGTCCCAATGCTTGTTCCGTTGACCCGATGTATGTCCCGATGACTTGTCCGATGGTTGCCCCGACTGTTGATTGTCGGGACTGTCATCCGAATGGTTGTCCCGATGATTGTTCCAATGGATGTCCCGATGGTTGTCCCGATGGTGGTCTCGATGGTTGCCCCGATTGTTGTCCCGATGTTTGTCCCGATAGTGGTCCCGTTCTCCCGATACATGTCCTGTGGTTGTTCCGATCTATGTCCCGTGGTTATCCCAATTGTTGCCCCGATGGTTTTCCCGGTCGTTGTCCCGATGGTTACCCCGAAGTTGTTTCGACAGTTGTCCCGATGGTTGCCCCAATGTTTGTCCCGATGGTCGTCCCGATGGTGGTCGGGAAAGTGGCCCCGATGGTTGCCCCGGTGGTTGTCCCGGTGGTTGTCTCATTGGTTGTCCGCATGGTTGTCCCGATGGTGTTCTCGATGGTTGCCCCGATGGTTGCCCCGGTGGTTGCCCTGATGGTTGTCCCAATGGTTGTCCCCATGGTTGACCTGTGGTTGTTCCGTGGTGGTGCCCCGATTGTTGTTCCGATGATTGTCCCGATGGTTGTCCCGTGTTCCCGGTGGTTGTCCCGACGGTCGTCCCGTGGTTTGCGGTTGCAAGCTAGTCAAACTCAAGCCCACCCCGAATCCTCCTTATCAGCCGTAATGTCGCCTTATCACAATCTTACACGTCGCACCCGAACAAAAACACGTCCTCCTATCCCGGGCGAACGCACCCCTGCAAAACTGCAAAGACCAACTTACCCCACGCTCCCATGAATGTTCATTTCGACCCTTATTACCACGTGGAAGGAGAGATACTTGTTACAAACATCAGCACCGCTGGACTCAGAGACTATGGGACTTCGGGCTGTGGGGCCGTGAACGGATCAATCTCCGAACATGGTCTAGAGCACTGGGGCCCGCACACTACAAGCAAAAGAGAGCATTGGACGTCTTGAGTCTTGGTCCCCGTCACGGCGTTGTCGCGAGGAGGGCGCAATGGCAAAGCATGTTCGAACCGGCGAAGATGTCGGCCGATCTCCGTCTTCGGGATGCCGTCGGCCAGACTTGGGGCTGGCAGCCATCGTGCTCCCCAGCCTTCCAATACATTAGAGGTTGATTGGAGAGAACACGCGAGAGGATACAAGACCCTTCCGAGGGCCACGTTGTCATAAACACGTAGAAGGCATGGGTGGGGAAACACAGGGCACATGGGGACCCTTGATTTGGCAGGGTCGACCTACTAATCAGCCTCGACTGTAGGCTCCAAGAAGACCCACAATGTCCCAAAGCAGCGCCCTAATTCTCAAGTTTGCCGCTCGGGTGCTGAGAGCCCGGGAAGGGTCAATTATTGGGGCCGGGGGGAAAGGGGGGGGGAAAAGGGGGGGGATTGAAAGG